TTGATCCACATTGGTCAGATGATCGTTTTCTATGTCGTCGTCAACGGTTTGAATAGACGTTGCTGGTAAGAACGATCACATCAGTTCTTCTGTCAGGTTCGTCACGACCTCCGAGGAGGAGGGCGCAAAGGAGGCGTCATATGCTTAACGAGGGCCTCTTTTTGCGGTCCTTCGTCGTATTCTTGCCAAAGATCGTGCCGAGCACCCTCGAGACCGAATGGACGCCCAATTTCCGGCGAATAGGAAGTGCTCGGAGCAATTGAACCGATCTTGCCTCACGGAGCAGCGCTTGGAATGCCAGTGCTGCCCCCGCAGGACTTTCCGCCGCACTAACCTCGTAAAATTGACATCCATGAGCCAAGGACAGTTGCTGGCCCTCATCCACGCATACCTCTCTGGAACAAAATAATTGATGCATTTTTTGATTAATTCTATTAATGAATTTTAGAATTTTATTATTTCTTATTTTTGTATTTGGGAATCAAAACAAGTCTTTTTTTTCGCCATAAATAGAGTAAAAAATGCAAAATTTATATAGCGAAGAAATGTATTTTTGTTATTTAATATGAATACATTTTTAATTATTTAAAAAAATCAGAGAAACTAAATTAAAAAGATAATAGTATATACATATAATATATATTATTGAATTTTTTTAAAATGGATTTGAATTAATCTAGCTTTAAAGTATAATTTTATTGTCTTTTTTAATAGGAATCTATTATAAAAATATCATAGATATTATAAATATTATAGAAATATAACTTGAAAAACTTAAGAAATAATATAACTTTAATTTACAGTTTTTAAATTATTAATATAAAAAAAACTATTATTACTTATGCTTTTTATTAGTAGAATTATTAATAACTGTAAATGAGTTCTCAAATCTTGAACTTTCAATTTAGTTTTTTGATGAGATTCTTATGCAATTTAAAAATAAAATAATTAGTAAATAAATTAAATTTTTCTAAAAATCATTTTTCTGAAAATTGCAATTTTTCAATTATATAACTGTTATATACATATATAACATTTTATAAAGTATATATTATTTTACTATCTTGCTTTTTTTTCTATTTTTTCATCTAATATTTTAATTTTACAATTTAGAAATATTAAAAAATGAAGATTGTTTAGGAGTTTATATTTCAATATCTTTTTCAAAATATACATATAAAATCTTTTTTTGATAAATTAAACAAAAATCAATTTAAATAATTGTACAAATATCTATAAATACAATATATTAAAACTAATTTAAAAACTATTAATATTCATAAATATTAAAAATTAAAAAAAATAAATAATAAATATAAAATTAATAATAAATATAAAATTAATAATATTCATAAATAT